TGTGATAGGTCCACCTTAGGGTCATAAGTCAGAAGCAACTTGGAGACACAACAACAACAACAATAGAAGGCATGAATTTCTCTGTTGCACTATATGGTAAAATATGGTAGACTTTCTAGAATTTAGCCATAAAGAAGCTAAGAACTCATATCCCAGTGCAATAATAATGTTGATAAACATTGGGTTTAAAAGGCATCAGCTTAAAAGGTAGAATATACCTACACATTGGGACATTATTTAACATAATCCTTTCAATAAGCAGTCAATCTTTTTAAAAGCAAGGTGAGCAGATTAAATTGCTGCACCCAATAGGTTACATAATGGCTTCCTTATTAGTTCTTCGTATATCTATTGTGTCAATCCTAGTTCATCCATTGAGTTTCTTACTGCCTTTTATTAAAATAACACACATACATTTTCTGAGGCTTCCCAAGGTTATAAGTGAGCAACCGTCCTTTGTTAGGGAGATCACTTAGGAGCAGCCCATGGTGACTAATAGGAGCTAATGGTTGGGAGAGATCTGAAGATTGAGAACTGAAAGAAGGTGACACCCCCAACCGAGCTGAGGAGGAGAGGCTGATGCAAGGATGCTTGTGTGTGTGCCCACACAAGTGCCCAAATGCATGTACACATATATGTATCCATATGTAAGATGCAATTTGGGAAAAGGCAAAAGCAAAGAAAGAGAGAGGGCCAGTCAAAAGTCAGTGGAAAGCTAGAAGGATCTTGAGATACTTCTCTGTCTTTCTCTAGAGATCTGATGACAGTTGGCATGTCTGTAGGGATATGCATGCTACTTGTCTCCATGTGCTACTCATATAGCTGTAAGTAAAACACACATGACTTAACTCTCCAGGGCTTCCTCATTCAAATGAACTCAAGCTCAAATGTTTCTGAACCTTCTCACTGCTTTGAAAAATGGGGAGCACATAACACTGCCAATACCTAATCTTTCTTCTAATTATACCACATATTTTATCCTAACAATCTGTCAAGCCTATCATATGTTTTTTCCTGCAGTATCACACGAGGTTTTGTAAGCTTAGCTGTCTTTACCCATTCTTTTCTTTTATTGTAGTTTAGTAGGGCAAACTACCTCTGAGTATTCCTTGTCTACGAAAATCTAAGGAATTTATGGGGTCACCCCAAGTCAACAGGTGACTTCAAGACACAGGACAGACAAAAAATACCAGTGTAACGTGCAGAAAAATCAAAGACCCTTTCTACTGTCTTAAAGCCTTTCAGTCACCTCTAAAACACAGTATCAGCAACATATCTTTATTCTTTGGCTGAAGAAACCAAGAGCTGACCATACACATTCAGATCCTACAAACTTGGCATGATGTGTGTCTTATTTCTTGGCTCTAAATAAAAGTTTGAAAAATAACATCCATGTCTTAATTGTAAGATTGAAAAGATGAAGTTAAGAGCACTTTTGCTGTGGAAATATGGTCACTCTGTCAATTACCGTATTTT